GTCCAGGGCTTGAAAACTTGCATGTTTACCTGCTTGTCTGTTGCCTGATCCACCAATGTTTCACCTCCCAAGCATCACCAAGCCTTATCCCTGCCAGCCAGAGCCAAACAAAATAATGAGTTGACCATGTCTATTCTATCTTTGAAAATCTCGTTTAGTCCAATTCGGTATTGTCTTTCTCAACGGCATGTGCCATCGTGGAGCCAAATGCTCTACATATACATGCAAGCTCCACGAAGCTAAAAGCGGGGGAGAACAAATGTAACTATACACCTGTGAGACTACCTTGGAGGTATCTTGTTACATTTCTTCCACCCCCCCAAAAAAAGGCATCGGGGGGGGGTGCAAAAATGTAACATAGGCCCTAGGAGGTCCATAGTTACATTTTATAGGCCCCCTCCCCCCCCCCCTCAGAGACCCTGAAATCTTGCCTGGGGGGGGGGTTGTTACATTTAGGGTCCCCCCCAAAAAAATGTAAGTTACATTTTTGAGGTCCCCCCCCTCGAAAGCTCAGTAACAGGGTGGGGATACTACAACCATTTCTTCGATCCAGCGTGCAGGCGGCTGCGCCTCTTGGATGATATAGAGACCAGAATGCCAAAGACAACTAAGCTCGCGCCTATGGCGAAAAATGGGTCTGAACATGCCGGACGTCTTAGTTGAACCGTGTCAGTCCTTTCACCAGGTGTGGTGTCGCTGTTCGAGTTTGTAGCAGTGCTCGCGACTGGAGCCTTTTGACACCAACTCTGCACCGCGCAACCCCTTTCGAACCACTCGACAAAGCTGCCCACCTAGCAGAAGCAAAGTCATATGTACCTCAGGCAACGAAGTCCGTCCCAAATAGTCCTCTCCTCCATGGGCCAACCACTTGAACAGTCAAATGCTGCTGGCACCAGGGCACGTTTTGCTAGATGATGCTACAGTATCTGTTCCTCCAAAATCTTCGAGACCTTTAGTCTCACATAGTCTCACTGTCTCTGACGGGCGAGTGAGTGAGGAGTAGACGAAAACCACTCATGGCGCGGAGTCTTCTTCTCTGCGGGTCCGGTATAGCAAGGCCAAACACGCCGGGCCGTGCAACCCCCGGAGTGGCCTGAAGGACCACCAGGTGATCCCTCTGTCAGTCTGCAAACACATGCAAAAACACCCCAGCTGAGCAGTCTCTGGGTCTTCCGGGCAGGCTTCCGCAGCGTGGGTTTACCCGGCTCATCGGATTCTTCCGTGCTCATCCGCAGGGATTCTGCAGATGCGCCCATCCAAACCTGAAACAAAGGTACTCGGTACCCGCCAAAAGCCGAAGACCGATCCTGATTCATCGTTCGATCAAATGTATACGATACTTTCAACATGATCTAAGATGTACCTAAGGCTCAATTCTACAAAGTCCAGTGTGTGATTCAGACCCATTTTTAGAGCATGATGGGTCAGGAAGTGACTTTTGAGACATGTGACCAACATGCAGGTGATCCTGTCCGGAAAGCCAAGCCAGTCCGAGAGTTGAGCCTTGATGTGCCAAAAAGATCAATAAAAAGAATCCGCAGGCCGCAGCTCAGCAGCACAGGATAGGTCCAACCTTTTTAGTGACTCTTCATCTTGTCAGGATAGCACCCCGCCCTTGCCGCCCTTGCCAGCCAAGCCGTGGCTTGTAAAGCTTCGGGCGTCCGAGCCCAAAAGAAGGTCACCGGCAATGAGCCAAGGCCTTGGCAGACCGTGACTGTGTCTAACCCCGGGTGACAGGGTCGGGAGGCCGCTCATATTCGCACAACTCATATTCGCACACGGACCCCCCCTGAAATCTCACTCAGATTCGCACACAGATGACAACTCATCTTTACACACACGCACGTTTTCTACCTCATCTCTACACACGCACACTTTTGATTGCCTTTCATAGCACACTTCTGCCACGCAAACCCATGAGCGGGTTGGGGGTGGGGGGTGGGGTGGGTTGCAGTCAGCAACCAGACAGTGTGACTCTGAAGTGCTGAAAGGGTTGCCAGATTGGACACGGTCAACATCTTTACACACACACAAACACGTTTTGATTGCCTTTCAGAGCACACTTCTGTCACGCAAACTGATGAGCGGGTTGGGTGGGGGGTGGGGGGTGGGGTGGGGTGGGTTGCAGTCAGCAACCAGACAGTGTGATTCTGAAGTGCTGAAAAGGTTGCCAGATTGGACACGGTCAACATCTGTACACACACACACAGTGAGAATGCCGCAGCTCTCCTACATCCAACAACCTCGTGGCTGTTGAAAGAACCGCCAATTCAAACGACCTGCTACACCTGCTGCGAAACGAATGCTCCAAACAAACGTCATCTGATTCTCCAGAAAACATAACATATTGTCAAAACTCCATCAAAGCAAGGCCATGCGCGAGTCGCTGTGTTCTAAACAAATGCCTCAACAAACAGTCTGCTAGAGCAGTTATTACAAGTATACACACACATGACCGAAGATGCATAAGATTGTGTTCATAAGATGCATAAGGTTGTGTTCATAAGATACTCCCGCGTGCAAAAACGATTGAATCCAGCCGCGTGCAAGAACGATTGTTCGAACGCGTGCAAAAACGAGCAACCGCCCGACAGGGTCCAGGGAATCCAGATTTATCCAAGCTTCTACAAGCTTAGTGGTTCTAGAGATTCTAGACATCGAAGACTTACAACAACCACTAAGAAAAGACCATGGACATCCATGGACCACCATGGACCATGGACTCAAGTTGAGCGCTTCTCAAATCACTGATTGAGCACTTCATTGAGCTTCAGGCATCCCAACGCAAATTCACCCGTCGTCAATCGGGTGATGGAACACGCGTAGCTGAAGGCCTGAAACAGTTGTGGACGGTCCGGTGTGGTTTCCATGATCATGGTCAATAGCTGACCGAAGGAGAACGATAATCATGGAAGGCCTCACAATGACCATCGTGTGGGTCTCATTAAGCTGGATAATAAGGATTGAAGGTCTCACAATAAGCTGGATAAGGATTTGGACAGTGGCGGGTGTGGAGAAGAATAAAGGACTTCCTCCACCAGGTGCGAGACCTCAGACATTCCATGTTTGTTTTGGGGAGACTCTGAGGACATCACCACATCGGTTTTACAATGGATATCGGATTCTTTGGGAGTCCCTCCCCAAATGTCGCATTTCAACTAAAATCATTCAGTGTTGACTCCTCTCCTCACATGCACATGTGGCACAATCAGTTCCGAACCGAAAAAAAAGACAAACAACAAACGCGGACCCTCTGGTTGTTCTCACTCTCGTTTTGTTTTCGTACCCAAATGGCCCTGGCCTCTAAGGGAAGCATCGGACTCATGCGGGCGAGGATCACAAACCTCCAGCCTTGCGGAGGCTCGGACCCAACCCACCAACCCGACCCAGAACGGGTCAGAAAAGGGTGGTTTGCTTCATGTTCCGGGCTGCGTTTTCGAGCGGTTTTTGGGGGTTCGGTGGTCCGGCACGGCAACCCAATGGAGGAAGTTCTTGGGGAGGTTGATCTTGGATATATCCACCAGTAACAGTGGATGATGATGGTGAGTAAGTCCGTAAAGGCCTTTCTCAAAAAAACATGTGATGACTTTTTACCGACTGTAGTACAGATACTGTGCCACACCCTAGGTTGACCCAGATGCGAGTTGTAGCTCCAAACTCCAAACAAGCTCGAAAGGAAAACATGTCTCTTGGAGGTGACCCCTGGCTGGGATGAGAACTCGAAGTTACAATGTAGCAAGCACAACAGGAAACTCATCTCACCCCACCATCGGTTTCGATCCTTGGTCGGTCTCCCATGTGCGGCGAGAGGAGGATCACCAGCAAAGAAACCATGAACCCAAACCATTTGCCACAAGCGGATTCGCCCGGAACTGTTCTTTCCGGACATTCAAATGATCTTGATACCTATGCCGTATGCTCAGTGCTTTGTCTAGATAAAGGTTTCACGGTACGGGTGAAGCATGTGAATCACCTCGAGGGCGGCTTCTTAATCGCACACTCGAAAGTCCTGGAAGTCCTCACCTCATTGATGTGTAGCAGTTCGTCATGCAACACACCAAAGTGGAATAATATACAGATTCTTTTTACAAAATCACAATCCTACAATACCCTACAGCCATGTCCCTCACCGCCCAGGCCAAACTATGGCTTCACCCCCCTCCTTCAGTGGCCACAATGGCATTCAGTACCTCCGTGTGGCGATGGAACGATGGAAACTTGCCAAAAGGATGACGGAGCAAAATGGCAAGTCAAATCTTCTAAGTGTGGAAATGTAATAGATACATGATACATGTATGATACATTGTAATACATTGTACATATATATATATTATATATATTATATACATATGTGTTTTTGAAAGTTGCGTGGTTTGTCACGTTCAGTCTATGGCTGCCTCTGCAGGATGTGCCGTGGGTCAAGACTCCCTAGTCAGTCCTGCCTCCACCCATTCAAGGTTCTGCAACCTCGCGGGCATGTCAAACCCACCATCTAGGTGGAAAACTGCATGATTCGCTGGAAAAACTCCAGAACAACACGACATGTATGCCAGCAATCTTTGTTTGGTCCAAGCACAAGCATCAAAAATGACAACAGCTAGTAGATTGCATCAGGCTTTTCGCAGCTCATTCAAAGCTGTTTTGGGAGTTCGTGTATTTCGTTCAGTTTACCCATCGATGGCCAGCAAGTTGATGATCTCTGCGCCTTCTCATGATGCACTTTTGGCAAAGAGTCCGGCCTCACATCCCCAGATGCTGGACATCCCCCCAAGGTCATTCCACTGTGAGGTCCAACCCGCTTCTGGGTGGCTGGCCCCGCGGACTATGCTGGATCCAGTTTGTCAAGAACGCCAGGTGTCAGACCCAAAGTGAAGGCCAGAACGCCACCTGCCACCAGCCCGCTGAAGACCGCTAAGGTACCTGGCACTGGGGAAAGCAATGCCTCGTTTCACACCCTTTTCAAGGGCTGTGGAGTGATATATTCGCGATGCAGCAAACACCAGCGAGGAGCATCAATCTGCCATCACTGTTTTGCAACACCCTCTGAGAAGCATGGAAGGTCGGGTCCAATCTCTTCGGATGACCAGTCTCTTCTGTAGATGTCCACTCGATTTCAAAGATGAGCCTCCTGTTCTTCTATATCAATGAGGCCCAATTGGTGATGTTCCATTCATAAGGTTGAAAAACTTTTATCTAGATCTTTACATCAAACATCTGACCTTGGCAAGTCAGTGAGAAACGATCCAAAACAATCACCGTTTCCGTCCAGCCTACGACGGCACTCTCCAAGACATTCTCGTGATAAATATGAGCAAAAACGACCTGAGCTGTTTCGATGCAAAGATTCATGAATCCAAAACATGTGCACCCCGGAAATTGAAGAGTCTAGTCTGTGGAGGATGATCGGACCGGATGATCGCCCTTCGGCTTCAGGGTTTTGTTTCTTCCCACCAGAATCACCAGAAAGCATCATTGATCACCATGACATCCCATGTTCGATACACATCGTGACACGAAATGGAGATGAGACGATGAGACACTCTGGCACACGAATCCCATTGAATCAATCCCATTTGAATTGGCCTTCGTTCCACACGTCGTCTGCAGGTCTTCCTCGTCCACCCCGGGCCGAGCCGTCGCCCGGGCCGAGGCGTCGTCGTTGTCACGGCGACGGCGAAGAAACCCGGCAGAGGCGGCCGAAGGGCTCCAGCTCCCAGCCACAGACCGAAGGAGGGGAGGCAAAGAACATTGGCCACCGTCGTGGTGGCGAAGAGAAGGAAAGCAGCTTCGACCTCCAGCAGCCGATCAAAGGATGTGAATGAGTGAATTGAAATGAACATGTCATGCATTTCTTGGTTATTCTTACTTGGGAGCATTGCTAGCTGAGTAGTATCTAATTATATCTAATTACAATGAAAAAGGACCGACACTTTGGGGACTGTGATGGTCAGTCCCATGCGACCAGTGAAGCTAACATGTGACTGAAGCCGAGTGAAGCAGGGACTTGATGATCCACTTCCTACAAAGTAGAGTAGGATAGAGTAGGTCTTTTGCATCCAGCAGGGTGAACAAGACACAATAGTTGTTGTGCAAAAAAAATTGGGTGGCTTTCTCATGCTTGACTCATGTCTGAAACTTCATTGGCCAAGCATGTCGACATGAATCAAGCTCCCCATCAGCCAAACACTCCAATCCCACCCCCATCTGCCCGACGCACTCTCGGTTCATGTGCCCGTCCGAAGCTCCCAAGGTCCGAAGATCCAAAACGAACCGCCACGGAGCTGGCCACCGGTCAGAGCTCGAGGCTCCTGACCGGTTGAAGGTCAATCATCTTGTGGATCATGTCTTTGGTCACATGGCCCACCGAGCTCCTCGGCGACCCAACATCCATCTCTCAACAGCGACCTGACTTCTGATGGGCCGATGGAGCAAGTGAACAAAAAGAACATAAGACCTTGCTGGGGCTTCCTCCAATCTTAGGATATCAATCTGTCTTGCGACTCCTCAAGAGCGGCCAGTTGCGACTGAATTCCCCATCCCTCGGCCCGATCGGGTGCTGTGGTCGGCACCGGTGGGTCCATGCAGTCACCATGCACAGCAGCAACAGCCTCGACATGCACTTCATCCGTATCACGAAACATCACGATATGCTTGGTTGGTCTACAAATGCAAAGCTCAGAAACAAGACATTTTGTTGCAAAGACCCTGGATTTCATGCGCGAACCCTGCCGAAACCATGGAACAAACAGGCCAGAATTAGGGGATGACCAAAATCAACTTTCTCCCCATGTTTTTGGCAAGCCACCAAAGATGTGTGAGCATCTCCAAGAACAGCCCACAGATTTTGTATTTTACTGGAATCACTCATTTAGGTTTTAGGACGATGCATGATATGAGAAATCCCTTTTGCACAGCCAGCAAGGTGGCAAGGTGTCTAGCTCAAGACTCTTTTGCTTGAGCCAAAAACATCCCGTCATTTTCACAGAGATCTCACATCGAAAGTTGTTTTGTTCTCCATACTCAATCTCGGCTCTGAAACTCTCAGTGACCCAAACGCCACCCCGCCCGGTTGTGCCCCCGGACATGGCCAGGCCGGCCGCGCCGAGGGTCTGTGCCAACTCACAGCCGTCCCGTAGAGCATCCTCCTGGGAGATCCCGGTGGATTCCAAGATTTAATACATTGGGTATATAGTATATAGTGTATATTATGTATATTGATACAGTACATATTGATATTTAAATAGGGAGACCTCCCAATTCGACCCCCCCTCTAAGATGAAACACTAGACCATAAAGCCATTGGGCCAGGAGTGGCCAGGGGGCCCCCATATTTAAATACACACCCATTTTTACGAACTAGGACGTTTCTAGGTCCAGTTGCCTTGGTACAAAATGGATCCGGAGATCGGCTCAGAGATATGTGGACCATGCATTCAATTCAGAGGAGACCCGTTTTTCGGGGACATGGCGAAGCTTGAGATTTGCGTATAACCAACCTGTTTGTGGTTCCCTGTTGTGCGACAAACCTCTGGATGATATCCCACAAAATACAGGGTTTGGAGCGTAATGTAATGTTGAATCTTGATTTAAAGTAACCCCCCCAGATAGGATTGCAAAACCTCTTCATATCAAAGGTTCTATTGATCACTAAGAGTCTATACATTATTCTGGTATATAAAACTTGAGGCCGAGGGTAGGTGACGAAAGCTAGCAGGGGTGCATCCGGACTGGTGGGACATCAAGCGGAGTGAGGCAAATGCTCATGAGGTTGTGAACATGTAAGACACACAAACAGCAATGACACAGCCAACCTTAGAATTGAAGTCCCCGATAATTAAGGAAGCGCGGCTGGACTTTGCCACACTGTTCGATGCATCCGATGTGTTCACGAACCTGTGAGCTTGTTGAATCTGTTGCGCTGTATCCCAAAACCTCCACGGAGGAGTTGAACCAGTGTGGATGCCATAAGAGGTGCCCAAGAGGTGTCCCAGAGGCAAAACAAAGCTGCTTGCATGATTTGTTTGGTTTCTTCTATCGATGTCGATGTCATGAACATGTGAGCTTGTTGAATCTGCTGTTGGATCGTCATGTATATGTAATGAGGGACTGAAGAAAAGCAACGCAGCATCATGAGCATCACGGGAAGTCACAAACCAGGCGTATCAGATACACCTGGCTTATGTATGTTTGTTTGAGCATCTTTGTCGAGTGAAGTGTCAGCCATATGCACTGAGATGCCAAAGGAAGCTCAAAGGCACGTGTATCTGATACGCCTGGTTTCTGACTTCCCGTGATGCTCATCATTGAAGCCTTGAACCCTCGCGTAAATTTCATGTTTCATGCCCCCCCTTCCAAACTCAAACAGTGGCCTACTTCACCTGCCACCTAAACATAGCACTATAGCACGTACCGGAAGCGTCCCAGGGGGGAGTTGAACCCGCGGGGGGGGGGGGGCCCCCCCTACACGTGAAGTTTTCACGTGATTCATGATTCTCGAGGCTGCGAGCCCTTGACTTGCTAAAGCAAGAGCAACTCCAGCTAGCTGATGCTAGCTTTCGTGATAAGTTTTTCTTTGAATAGGATATTGTCCCGGTCCGCGGCAGAAGAACAACAACATCGAATTGTTGTGTTCCAACTGGATGGTCTTCCATCTCGTCGCTAGTACTAGGTGCTCCCAAACCTTTGCGAAGCCCTGGATAGCCCACTTCAGGGCCAGTTCCTAGTGCCAGTGAATCCTGGGTGCTTTCCGGCGCTGGGCCTCTTGCAGCAACAATGCCGGCGCCGTGCGGCTCCGCAAAGGTAGCAAGGGGCGGCCTGGTCTGTGAAGAGGAGGAATTTGGGCCAAGGGGAAGCAGGAAGGGTTTGAAAACCAGAAACCCAGGTACCGAAGTAGAAACAGGAACAAAAGGGTTTGGGCATGGCTCTTGTAATGTATCTGGACTTCGTGGGCAGAGTATGGACAGACTAGGTATGGGGATCCATGTCTAATGGGTGAGCATCAAGCTATAGGTGAGCTTGAAATACTTATGTTTGAACATCCTTGAAACAACTGGCTATGGGGATCCAGAATTGACTCCCAACACCACTGGTTATGGGGATCCATTCTGCGGCTCCAGTCGGTGATCAGTGAGGTGCTCTTTTCCTGGTCTGACAAGATGATTCTCACCTCAGACTGCTCAGCCTCAGACTGCTCAACCCTGCAGTCGAGGAGACACAAGAACAACACATTCAAGAATCTGCTTGCATTTGCTTAATAAACCTGCAAAAAATCAAAAGATTTTCCCAGATGGGATTTACCCATAGGGAAAAGACAAATCGTCTTAAGCAAATTCAGGTCGGGGTGTACGATTTGAAAGCTCAAGCCCCGACGAGGGAGCTCAGTTTGAAAAAACACCTACTGTATATGCATGAGTTTTGTGCAAAGGGGTGTAACTGTGTAACGAGGGAGGACCAAAGTTCTCGAAGTCCATAGTCCAAATCAAGTAAGTTTCCAACATTTCCTAAGTAAGCATAAAGTGTCAAGGTTCAAAAGATTGTGTCTAAAGGTGGTCAAGAGGGTGCAAAATCCAAAAAAGGTGCATATCCGAGAATGCATGACACCACTGCCCCGCCGAGAATTCATCAAAGAAAAAAAACAAATAATTGCAAACCCGTGACTCTATATTCACACACACACACTACGTATTACACTAAAGGCTCACTGAAATGGGCCAGTTCTGATTGTTTTCCCTGGTTCAGGCAAATTCTTAGATTGCGGAGAAATCTTTGTTCACACACTATGTGACAAAGCCAGCGGGTTGCAAAAAACTTCCGTTCTCCCACTAGTTGGACTGAGGTGCGAAGATCGGCGAACCTTCTCGCTACAAAAACACAGCCTGAAGCGATTTTAGGAGCTTTCTTCCTAAGACATCAAAAGACTATAGGCCATGGAAGGGCTATCCGGGATCACTGAACCACCAATTTGCTACGGCAGGTGGATGTGGGAACTCAGTCACCGATCTGGGCGCTGTTTCAGAATCCTCCCCGACTTGGGCTCCAAACGAGATGGCATGGATGACATGGCAAACTCCTCTACATGCTGATGATGTGGCAGAACGCCCCGGTTTGATGAGCTGACAAATTTGTATCTGCGTGTGGTTGGAACTGCCGGGGGTTGTGCCATTGCTCCTGAACAAACATATGTTTTTTAAGAGTCAGTGTTAACTCATGTTACAAACTATGACTATGGCGCAGGTTTTAGACATGTTTGATCATGTTGGCAATCGAATTATTGATTTGCCTTCAACAAAAACCTATACTCAACCTCTTAAACATACCAAATCCCAATACATAGCTCTTGCTCAATCCAATTACTGGCAAATTTGCCACAACACAAACATGCACTTCAAGTCCTTCGCTTGGCCCAATTTCCCCACACATGGATCATGAATAGTTTTGCCATGCCGAACTTTGACGCCTAATAGGACCCTATTCCAACCTGATGCTTAGGACAATTGAATCAGCAGGTGCGTTTGGACACATGAAAAAGGATGAAAAAGGTGCTTTGAGCCAATAAGGGTCCTCAAGAGAGTGCAGAATCCATCCTACACTGGAGGCTGCAAGCCCTGCAGGATGCTGGTCGAACAACAATCAGGCGCGGGCAGGTCGTTTCGCACCAGCCAAACATACCTGACCTATACTTGACTGTACACGTGCGCTGAGATGGGCCGGTGTTTACCGGAAGTGAGACGAGTCAAGAAGAGAAACGAGCTGAACGCCCCAAGTCTCTGTGCAGGAGTCCTGCCCTGACCATTTGCATGTCTTGCAGAATAATCTGTTACAAAGCTTACGATAAGGCAAAAACTGTCCATCTTGAAAAGCAGTGCAAGCTCTTACTATGCTGATCACCGATCACCCCTCATGACTGTGCCGCGTGGCAGCGAGCATTAGGCGGGACCCTCCGGCAGCGTATCACCTTCAGCCCTCGAGGCAGAACGAGTCGAAGGAGTTTCAGAATTGGCATCTGATCCCTGCGTCGAGTTCCGAAGGCGATCGTGGCGAGGAACGTCTTTTCTGGATCAACATGATGCGTACATATCGTTTGAAGCATTTCCCACCATTTTTTGGTTGCCCCATGCCCATATCCATCCGACTCGAATGGATTTCTTCAATACAGTTAATGGAGTTGTTACCTGAGAAGAGAGAGAGAGAGAGAGCCTTCCGTGGCTATGGCTATGTGAGTGTACCTTTGATTTTGCAAAGCCCCTTGTTTGGAACCCTATGGAACACAGGATTGACAGCGTATGTGATAGGACAACCATATAAAGCAAACCAAGGTTAGGATTAAAGTGATTACAGTTTGTAAAAGAACAATCGGTATTTATGCAGGCCATACGATGACTGTAAGTGTTCTAAGGCATTTGATTCCATTCCTTCATCCAGCAGGTGTACACAGAGATGTGCAACGTTGTTTCTTTAAGTCAAAACCAATGAAATGCACGTCAACAACATTTATATAAACATATTGTGTTTTAAAACATAACTGAATAGTATAAATAATATATATGTATGATAGTAAATGCATATCTATTCCAAAAGCTCTGAGTCTTCGGGAAGCAACAAATCGCGAACCGCCCGGTGGTGGGTCAGCTCCAAAGACCACGCAGGCGGTCAAGGACTCTACATGGCAGGCCTCGTACAGTCCCTGCAATCATCAGGGATGTCGAAAATGGTTTGGATGAGCGTTTTCCTCAAGAAAAAGATGGTTTTCCTCTCAAGGAACTTTTGAAGGAGCCTTTGTTCAACAGTAAAGTGCTCCTTCTACCTCTTTGACAAACACACACAATACCTCTGAACAAATACAGTAATTACCTGACGCAAACCACCATGTCCAAAAGAAAACTGCAAAGTTTAAACAAAGCTAAAGCAGCTAAACCATGTCTTCTAGACCAGGGCAGGTGTACACCAAACTCTCAGCTAAACCGATCAGATCAGCCCGGACCTCCCATCCATCGGACCAGTCGTCATCATCTGATCCAATGGCGAAGATGGAATCTCCCAAGTTCGCCTTCAAAGCGAATGGAAGCAAAGACGTGAAGATTCTATTTTGCCCGAGAAAGACCAGGTGGATCGCATCACAAACAACTAAAGCTGTGAAGTTACTTGTGTTTAAACGATCTTCGGACAATGCCCCTTTTTGCTGTTAAAAACTTGAGATAAAAAGTTGGTAGTCAGAACACCATGTGCTATATGTCATATGATGTCATATTATGCATTGAAACGGTGCCGTTTGGATCATAGATGATTGTGGTCGCCTAGTACTGTAGTAGTTCAATTGAGACACACAAACACACACGTACATGTTGAGACACGCAAACCGCATCATTCATACGGCCAGCTGAAGTGCCATACAACTGAAATGCACAGCAGGCTGAGAAATGCCATTCAACCAACGAGAGAAACTTAGTCATCCGCTCAAATGCCTCGTCCTCCTCCTGCTTCGATGCGTTGGCATCTTTGGCTTTCCAAGACTGGCCCTTCTGCCGGATGTCATGTGCCAAGCTCTTCATGTTGGAAGAGACCTGAGAAGCAAAACGGTTCCCAACTGGCGGAGTGACGGGGCTCAGAGCGAGTCCAAACTCTGCTCCGTGGTAGGTGGCCATTCTGTTCATGTCGCCCATCGGTTCTATATCGAGGGTCCGAGGGTCCTGCAAATTGAAGACCCCGACTTCTAAACCTCAGAAAAAAATGACAACTAGTTACAGTACTGTACCTCAAAGAAATCCAAAGAACCCCTGACAGAGACAAGCATGTACCAGGGTGCCTCAACAAGCTAAATGAAGGACTGCAACTATTAAAACCAACATAAACCAGCTGATGCATCAAGAATGCACTGCCACCCATGGCACCTCCCGGCCCGACTCTTGGCACCTCTCGGCTCTTCTTGGCAATGCTTCCCTTCAGTTTTCCCCCCAGCTTCTTCACGCGCTCCACAGCTTCATGCTCCCGCTGTTCCGTCTCCAGATGAACCACGTTCGCGCAGGTGGAAGGCTGAAGCCACCAGGGATCTGCCTGCGTCGGGCCCGCGATCCCGTTGGGGGGGCCGCGGCCCCCAATCGGGGTGTCCCGGCAGGGGGTGGGAGCCATAGCAGTCTGGGCTTCATTGCAGCCCTAAACCAGGTGCAAAGAGTTGGTTTGTCCTACGTAGGCCACCAAACTGAAGCCCTGTTGGGCTTGATCAAAGTGTGGACTCCTGGGAGCCAATCTCCGATTCATCGATGCAGTGACACATCCATTGTCCGTTGAGATCAACGATGTTGTGGTGTAGTATGTAGAATTGCGCGAGTAACAATGTTGAGATACTTTTTCACACATAAGGCGCCAATGGGAAACCAAAGCGCGTCGTGTGGTGCAGGGGATCTGCTGGATTCGAGCGCACCTTAGAGTACATCCCGCCGAAGAGGGTGAGAGAGACTGTCACCTCACCAAATAAAGACAATCAGCCCCGCAACCAAAACCATACCCTATATTCCAGTCAAAACTAACCAACTGTGTAGCCACCAGCCGCAAGCGGGTCTTCCAATTCAACATAGAACGGACGCGACATGCAAATCTAGCCGATACGGAGTGAGTAATATCCACTTGTAACCCACAAAACAAAAGCACACAACTCCATACAAAATCAAACGTCGCATCCCCCCCAACCACCCAAGAATCATAAGCATCCCAACACCTCAAAGGCAACTTGACTTCGACTTAAGACATCAACCAAAAGTCTCGCCTTGCAACACCGAATCCCCATTCGACACGTGACGTCCCGTCGCGCCTTCTCCTCCTGCAGCCGGCTCCGCAGCCCATCCCCGGCCTTCCGGAAGGCCGCCTTCCTCGGGGACCACCGAAGGGGTCGGGTCACTGAGGGGAACGGCGAACGGAAGGTCGAAACGGCGAAGGCGAAGGGAGAATGAACGCTTGGAGGCGGCATTGATCTTTTGCAAGCAGATCTGAGTAAGTGGTAGATGGGTGGGCGATATCGAAGTTTCAAGGTGCATCTTGTGCTTCAAAAGAGGTCCTCCTTTTGTGTGACTCGTCTCCCTAAACAAGACATGACCAACCAAACAAACGGCCGGAAGAGTTTAGCATTCTGGGGCTAGCTTCACTTTGTTGAAGCTGCTGTCTTTGGGATCTTTGGGATCCTCCTCTTGCTTGCTTTCTTCTGCTTCAGATTGACCTCGCCACACCTGCGCGAAAGGGAGGCTCCGGCCGGTGTTGGTTTGGTGTGTTTCTCCAGGTGACATCTTGATTGGAAGTAAACTGCTACGACCCAAAGTCTGAACAAGTATTAAATTGTTAAATTACGTTCTTCTGTCTTTCAGTAACTCAAAGCCTGACCTACAGTAATCCCGAGTACCTATTCAAAAAAAACACACCCCTATTAAAAAAAATGTTAGACACCTAAAAATAGAGTTGATATTTGTTCGTAAATAAAACCGCTACTAAACTACCAACATGGTCGATTTTGGTGTAGTTTTTTAACATTAATTTGGTTCTAAAAAGGACCCTAAATATCCCTAAATGCCCACCTCTGTCCACCGCGCAGGTTTACCTCCCCCCAACGGCACGGACTCACGTGACATCACCTTTCGAAAGCTTTAGTTGTCAGTCCGATGAAGAATCAGTATAATACTATTAAAGCTATTTATCAAGGGAAAAGGAAGACCTTTCGATCTGGAGGCTTTTTCAATTTTAGCGCAGGATTGCCTTTAACAGCCCTCTCGTAGCACAGGATCGCCTTTAAAAGTCCTCTCGTAGCACAGGCTTGCCTTTACGAGCCCTCTCGTAGCACAGGCCTGCCTTCACGAGCCCTCTCGCAGCACAGGATTGCCTTTAAAAGCCCTCTCGTAGCACAGGATTTGCCTTTAAAAGCCCTTTCGTAGCACAGGCTTGCGTTTAAAAGCGCCCTCGTAGCACAAGCTTGCCTTTAAAAGCCCTCTCGTAGCACTCGTAACACAAGCTTGCCTTTAAAAGCCCTCTCGTGGCACAGGATTGCCTTTAAGAGCCCTCTCGTAGCGCAGGATTGCCTTTAAAAGTGCCCTCATAGCACAGGATTGCCTTTAAAAGCATTCTCGTAGCACAGGATTGCCTTTAAAAGCCCTCTCGTAGCACAGGCTTGCCTTAAAAGCGCCCTCATAGCACAGGCTCCCGGACCAAGAAATTGGGCATACGTTTGTTTTGTATTTTAATATATTTATTTTTTTATTTTTATTTTCCTCTTTTTCCGCTTTACTATTTGAAGTCTCTCGCCCCGGGGCCTGCTCACAAACCAGGGCCGGAGCCACCGTAGGAAACGTATCCAAAAGGGCTCTCGTAGTGCCCGCCTCTGTCCCTGGCGGTCGCCGCTTCTCGGACTTTCTCTGCGGCGAAATTCCTTGGAGGAACTTTTTTTGCTTGCTTCTTTTGCTTTTTCTCCTTCTTCTTGAACGTCTTGAGGTATTGCTTGTACTCCTCTGCGCTCACCTCTTTGGTTCCGCCGTTGCCCGCGCCGTCGGAATTCTGCATGGCAGCGGCGGGGCTGAGGAATCGCAAGACGCAGCTGGGGATCTGTTTTCAGCTCCACAAGGCGGCATTCCGCATCGGCGTCCCAATCATCCCAGTTAGTGTCACTGGGAACTGGTGGAGGGGGCTTGCGCTTGGGGAACCTGCGACGTCTGTGTGAGTCGCAGGACGAGTTTAGTAAAGGATTGTTAAATATAATAGATAATATTATACTTAATATGCATAACTTTCCTGGGTGACTTTTCAGTTTTGATCCTCCCACTGACCCTATTTTGGACAACCCCGATTTCAGGGACTCCCTATTTAAAAAAGCACACCCGAGTTGTTCTTTTTTGGTAAGGGGGAGCCCGGTTTTTTAAATCGATTTAATAGGCGGAAGGGATTAGTAGAGGAACCTTCTTCTACTCATCCATATTATCATCTCTGACTCTGTGACCAACCTCCATGTTATGCCAACATTGGTGAACTGCAGCATCGCAGCACCTGGCGGATGTCGTTGACACTGAGGCGGACCTGCAAAGAAAGGTCTGAGACTGGATGTTTTCTCGCTGTTGAAACTACAACATCCATTCATTGATATTCATTGAACCAATGGAGCACATCCATTTCTCCATGTTTCGTCCAAAAACAGGTGATTCTTCGCCGAAAAACATGTTTTTCTCTGGCCTCGTTCATGACTTCCTGCCGGAGCTCCGACACGTCCTTCGCGGTCATCGCCAGGTTCTGCCGTACGGCGTGCAGCGCACTGGACTCCTGCAGCGCGTGATGCGAACGGCTCATCTCCGCTGGTGCCGAGTCTTCGCTTCCAAGCCAAGCCATTTGGCATCCATTTGCGTACACCCCGGACCTTCGACGTTGCATGAAAATTGATAGCTTATTGTCAAACATGCCCTTCGTTTGGTTGCTTTGCAAAGGTTGCCTTTTTGATCCTTTTTGTTGGGGAATGTCAGGAAAAGTTGCCGTTTCCAAATTTACTTTGATTTGACATCAAACATTGACATGTAAGAAATGCTTCAAAGACCAAACTGATTGCCATGCAGAAAAATAGCATACTGCATACTGCATACTCAAGAAAATCCCGATGTGAATAGCTCTGAAAACTCACTTTGATGCCGATGTCAGTCCTTTTCTTTCTCCTTCTCTTTCTCATTCTCTTTTGCCTTGTCATCTTCCTCGCAGGGGTCAATGTGTTCAAATCACCTACTGCTCTTCGTACCTCAGAAAATGGGACGTGACACTAAAATATCAGGTACGACTGGGGCTCCATTTTCTGAGGAACGAATTCCGGGTCAATCAATGTCCTATACAACATCTGAGACCATACATATTATAGTAAAGCCGGAATATATCAAATGCGGCAGGTCTAGAACTATAAATCCATGAAGAATTGTGCCAGCCTCTACAGTACAGTCACTTGACATGCCTGCGAAGGGGGATAGTCTAGCAAGTCTAGCAGCCAGCTTGTCATCCGCTTGTCTGGCTGGCAGTATCCACGTCGTTGACAACCTTGCCATCCACTCTCACCTCTTTCAATTACATGTCCCCTGGATGGGCTGCAGCTCACCTAGCTGCATGGTGGGCATGGCAAGCCGGCTCGGAATGGTGCAACGGAATGGATCCGAAGTCTCCCACCTTCCAATGGTGCACTAAGATTCCTGCAATTCCTCCTCAACCAAAAAAAAAGACTCAGGCCTCCACCCCACAGACCACCCACTCGCCGAAGCGCGCCCCCCTCCCCGAAGCCCCCCCCCCCGGCCGCCGTTCGAACACGCCTCTGCACGGGGGCTCTCGTCCCGCTTCGCACCGAAGCTGCGCAGCTTGGCACCGAAGGCACTGCGCCAGCCACGGGTCTGCTCCTAGGCGCCCGTAGACACCATGGCTGCACCCGCGCCCACCCGCATGGCGCATGGTGGGAAGGGTTCGGAATGGATGGTTAGGTTGGAAATGGTTGGAAGGTCACCGACATGTCTTCACATCCTTCGAGTGCTCGTGGGGGGCAAGTCGAAATCCGTGGCCCTTCGCGAATTCCACTGCCCGTGGGTCACCTGAAGCTAGTCACCTGAAGCTAGGCTTCGAAACCATTTGATCCATCAGCCACCAGGTTCCACCCTTCAAATTCGACGATGCCCCCCACAGTCAGTCTCTCATCGTCTCCTCCAAATCCTGCTTGGTGAGCTGCATCCCTTCTCGTACACCTCCCGCAATGTCACGCATATCGTCCTTGACCTGCTTGGCTTCCTCCACAATGGCCTCCCCGACAACCGGCAGGAGAACCAGTGAAGGAGAAATCCAGGAGAACTGGTGGAACCTTGTGGAACTGGTGATTGGCGGTGTCTATGTGTGACATCAAGGTTTCCTGGCATGTAGGGAAAAACACAACACATTGTGTACCTAATGAGATCATGAAGTAGTGTGTCCTTGCTGAGAGTGATTTAGGCGATACTCTTCAGTATCGGCGCTCCTGTTCAGAGACAACTGTCACTGTTTAGGATGGTCACATGTCACATGTCGCCCAGAGATGTCCACCCTCTGTGGCCGGCTCAGTCGTGAAAACAATTGGTCACAAAGGGAGGTTCCTGAGTGGGTCGCCCTGAGGTATCCTGAGTTTAGCCAGGAGACAAGCAAGGCCACAGGGCCACGAACGGCGTGGTGGAGCGAGCTGCTGTTGCGATGGTTCAGCATTCCAGTGACGTTTTCTTGTGCATCCAACCTCACAACCTGTCTCTTCAAATCTCCCCCAACCTCTTATTAGGAACTCTCCATTAAGCCGCGCCTGGCGTGCCTTGTTGAGAAAGGGGCTCGCTTTCTTTTTCAATGAGGATGCCTTGACGAACCAAGATGACCGGTCGCTTCTTTACATTTATGAAGCTGCGTGATGCAATATACAAACCATCTTCCTAGGTCTTGAAACCCAGAAATCCCTACTTAGAGAGATCATGCCCTTAGGCCATAAGGGTCAACAAAAGAAAGATCCAGAACACATCAAAGCATAGGTCATGTGAATGACCAAGAGAGCAATCCCCCTACATCATAGTCATAAACTCTATCATAAAACTCTATCATAAGACTCATATATTATATGATATTCAAGTAAATTAATTGACTTCTGTTCCTGTGACATCCCGAGTACCAAAAGGACGCCATCCGGACGACGCACGTTTCCGGCTGGTTTTTCCCAGCGACGGAGCCCAGCAGCGCGCCGAAGCGACTGTGGCCTCGCTCCTCCCTGGCACCGTGTGAGACCGGAGTGGTGACACACGGTGAGGTGCTGAATCTCTTAGAAATAAGTTACAGAAGGTCAGTATGGTGGAAGATGGTCAAGTGTACAGTATTCATTTGTTCTTCTTTTGCGGTGGGCACCTATTGGAGTCCAGCCGTTCCAGCCTGTGGGTGCGAAGGAATAGCGAGGGATCGCTGAAGACTCATTCATTTCATGCCTGGACACCCTTTTGAAAACACACATTCACCAAAAGGCGATAAACTTTGGAGATGAACACCGACGGTTCTCTAAAGTGTGAGACGTTCAGGACGTTTCATCCCAACGAAAATCCTGAGATCTGTCAATTTAAGGAATCTTCAAACGTATAACCTTTAAAGGATGTTGGTCATTTCTGTTTACCAAACAAATAATGATCACCTTATGTTAAACCTTTCATTGATGAGCGGAAAAAACAAAAAACATGTTTCTATCGATATGAAATGCTTAGAACATCTTCGAAACCCACTATCTTGAATCAATACCCCAACCATCCCCAACCCTTATTTGAGTCTAAAAAAAGAAAAACACGTGGCAAGACCCCCCAAACAAAGACCACAACAAACGTGGCGAGTTGTTCAACTGGCGGAGCCCCTCCAAGCGTGTCCAGCTCCACTGCTCCGCGGAGACGTCCGGCTCAACGGTCTCGCCAGCCGCCGTCTCGGGGGGTTCGGAGCGTGTCTACACGGTCCGAGGTCCAAAGAGGTCTGTCGACACCCAACCTTCATAGAACAGAAATGAACAGAAGGCCTCTAATTTTTGTTCTTGGTCTCTCGGCTCTGTGTAGCCCACAATTTGCAATCAAGTCCATCGTTTTTGCGTGTGTGCGTGGAGCGAGAGAGAGAGAGAGGGATAAAAAAAGAAAAGGAAGGTGGCATCAACAGCATTTTACGCGAGTATGAAGAGTATTTTTGGAAGAATGCAAACCACCCAATGCCAATCAGGGATGATCTACACTACACTCCTCACTTTGTGTGTGTGTGTTTGTGTGCAAATTTGCTTTCTCTTTGTATGCACATGGGCCGGGTGTACATTCGTTCAGTTTCATTGGGATACAAAATCTCATCATACATCACATGCACCAAATACTGGGTTCATACATAAGGGAAAGGTGTGGAGCGTATCTGTGGATGGCAACTGTTGCTTGCGGCTCAAACGGCTGACCCACGTGGGGCCCGTAATAAACGCCCAATGAGGAATATGACAAACATATCCGTCCGACTATGTTTATGCCAACGATGCTAACCGGGACCCTGCGCCAATACCACCATTTTGGAGGTCTTTCAGGTTAGGGACTATGCGCGGAGCATCTGGCTTAGCGTCGTTGGCAGCAACCGTGCATCTTGGAGTTGGGGTGGTGGAGGGTGGGCTGGGTGTGTAATGTCCATATTTCTGCAGACGTTTTTCATATGCAGCACGCAATCGAACTTTGCCTTGCCTTTGGTGTGGTTCTATTGTTTCTGTTGAGCCGTGGGACCCCTTTCGGACTTTTGTTTCCAACACCGTTACATACTGTTGACCGAGGGCCATTGAACTGGGAAGGGTTAGCAAGTTGCATTTCCCTAAATGCCACCTCAAGTGCCTTTCCCCAAAGAAGCTAAAAACATCTTCAAACCTGCTGTTTTTGCAATTTTTGAAGTGACGTGTTCAAGTGATGCGTACAAATTGCGCGGGGCCCCGGTTAGCGTAATGCCTTGTCTTTCCTGGTTGAAAGTTGAAAATGCGAAGTCAAGACTGCTGTTAGAGTGGCTACGATACAATTACCCCAAGCCTTGTATCTTTTGCAAAGCAACCGCCGTAAGCATTTACTGGATAAACACTTGCATGCTGAGTACGCGACCGGATACCCACCAGACGAGCCTGGAGCATCAAAGCAAACAAACAACTCATGATATCTCGTGATTCCTGAGGCCTCACCATTGGCCGTGCAAAGCACATTGCCCCTATAACCCTTGGGTGACACTATAACAATTGCATGTGTTGCTTGTGATAGGTAGTGGCATAGGACGACAAAAAGGAATGGGGAGCAGTGTCCATAGACTGTTTAAAGACCCCGATATGCTCAGTGAGTTCTGCTATCATCTGCACATCCCCACACATCTGCTGGGGCCTGCGGGCTCTCCATCCTGTGGCGGCACCTGTGACAGTCAAATTGATCAAATCAAGTGGGACTGAAGGGCGCCCAACGCAAGCGGCACAAGCGGCGCAAGCGGGTGTGCGAAAATCAGGCAGTTCATAAAACATAGAAACTGGTCAGCAATTCCAACGGTTTCTATCATTGAAAGCTAACAATTGTTTGTGATGGAACAACTCCGCAACTAACAAGGAACAACACTTTGTTTTGTTCTTCGCCATCGGCATCTAATTTCCATATCCATCTCCCCACAGTCTGCCTCGGAGGATGCCATGCTGCACAAGGATTGGATGCTCTGGGGCGTTGACCAAGCTTTGTGGCTTTGGAGTTCATGGATTGGTGGGCTTGATAGGCTAAAGCAGCAACTGGATTGATCTCTCGTCATGGTGGCTTTTTCAAAAAGGCTTGACTGCGTGTGCTTCCGGTGCCTTTGTGGCATAGATCAGGTGGCATCATTAAGTGGGTAAATTGATGTGTTGCACGAGCTAGAACAGCTGCAATGGGCAAACGCTTGATCCATCATGATCCATCAACCTTGATTCATCTAGCAAGCAAACACATTCTCGACTCTGCCATATTCTAGAATCATCTAGAATCTATAGAATCATATTCTCACGAACAACTTGACTACAGCACACAAGGGTGGAAGGCAGAACTACCACAATCTGGAGAGCAAAACACGTCCAAGGATGCAAAGGAAGTGGAAAACGCCTCATGTGCAAAAGGATGCAAAAGGAAGGTAGTCTTCCAAGGGGCCATTGTCCACGTTCGTAATTGTTGGATAAAGGCGATCGAGGGATTTTCTAAACTTACTATATATATATATATAGACGACCCAAACTGACGAAGGAGAACGGACTCTTTCGCGCACTGCAGGCAGTCCGCAAGCGCGCCCGAGAGTTCCTCGCTCAACTCAGTGTGGAGCCGTAGCCTGAGGGCAGGGCCATCCCATCCACCAGGTTTCACTCTTGGGGGCGGTGGAAGCCCAGCCCTGATAAGGGACAAATACAACTGGTGGCTCCCCGAAAAGCCCAGGGCACAGCAACCAGGCGACCCACTTTCCTGATGACGCCAGGTATTTGAAGAGGGGTAGACCCGGATTTTGTTGAAATACTCCCCTATCTGAGAACCGCACCACTTCGGGGTAGACTATGGCAAACTCCCCTCAACAAGCATTCAATATCAAACAAAACAAACGGTCGACTTAGACACGACATGAAGCGACAAAACAAAGTGGTCAAAATGTGGAAATGATGTTTGCTTCCGACCAATGCGCCAAAGAAGGGCTCAATATCGGCTGAAGAAACAAGTACACTGTACACGTCATCATGTTCTTCTTCTTCTTCTTCTTGCAGCATAGTATGCTGATGTATGCTGCAAACCGTTTGGCCAACACACAAACCGATTGAGCCTACATAGCCTATCAAAACACTCCAGGTCAAGATGGTGCAAAACCCAAGCACCTGAAAATCGTCTCTGCCTGGGCAAGAGAGGGTAAGGTGGGCTGGGCAAACCCGAATGGTGCAGGAACATGAGCAACCGGAAACCAAATATAACAAAACCATGTATTCAAACAATCAAAGCTGGCTCTCGTGATACTGCTTTCCTTAACATGCAGCTATTAGCTAGGGCGACCATGCAAATCGGACCCACCGGCTATGAGAGGCTTCTTCAATCGGGAGAATCCAACGCTACTTAGGCTGTCATTGAGCTGAGTTTGTCTTTACTAGGAACAAGAAGCTACTAGGGGCTCCTGGCATCGCTACTAGGAGCAAGGACGCTACTAGGGGCTCCTGGCCTTACTACATCTTACTACTAGGAGCAAGAAGCTACTATAGTACCAAAGTGCGCGGTTTGTTGAAGACCGCAGTGTGCCGGGATCCCTGGACCCTTCCGTCGCTGGCTGCTGTTCAGCCCAGTCTGTTTGGTCGAGGTTTCGGGCTTCCGAAACGACCAGTCTGACTGATTGCCGTGCGCGCTGATCCACATAAGGTTCGGGCGATTCCAAGGCCGCACTTTCGGCTTGCAGCATCATCACCTGGAACAAGGAGACATGACTAGAGACACGATCAGCAAAGAGTTGGGGACCGGGCAAATTCAAACCTCTAAAGCAACAAGTCTTCTTGTTCGGCACTTACCAGATTTTAGATGTCTTTTCTCTCTGATTATGTCTGTTAATTGTGATATCCAACATCTGGTGTCCTCGCCATCCCGCAATCTTCACCTTGTCGACGCTAAAACGGGTCGACTGCGGCCTCGCGTTGCTTTTGTACCCGCTGCCGCTGAATGGACCAGGCCTTAGCGTGGCCGTCTGTGAACGAGAGGACTCGTTGGGTCTTCGCGCTGCGTCTTTGAGCGTGCACGTAGCAGGCCGAAAGAATGACTTCACGTGAGAATCACCATGTCTCAGGATTGTCTCAGGTTGAGATCCTTGTCTCGATGTCTGCGAAGTCAGGCGAATTGCCCGGTTGCCGAGCACTGTGCTTGGGATACACCGGTGCTTCACAGCACATGGGAAGTAGGGCATGATTGGACCATGTTCATGCGACAGGGACCAAACCCAGTAAACTAAGCTCTGCGACGCTATAGATAAATCCCAACGCCACGAACAGGGCTGTAGCGGAAAGGACCTGTGCGGAGCCCGGTGGAAAAGGGGCTCCGGAACAAGCCTGCCAGAGCTGTCCGTCTAACCGGTAGACATGGGATGGGCCACAAATTCAACACGTATACTTATACTATACAAAAACATATTTTGGGAAGCAAGACCCTACCCAAAAGCATGGCAGGTTTACCAGGTATGAGACATTTGCCGGAGTACTGCGGTGACGTGGCGTAGGTTTTGTTGGGATGTCATGAACTGTACAAGAACAAACAATCAAACAGAAGTTCAAAGTGTAAACAGTGTAAATCAAAAAATATCGATTTCTTGTTGACATTCCGAGGAGAGACTGGCATTGTCATGAGACAATCCCATACATTTACCAGCAAAGCATGTTTAGGCCGGATCCTTTCATCATCTTTCATCCAATCAGGTCAGATTCACGAAGGCCCAATGAGGCACGTTGTTCATCACCTAGAGCTGCGATTGGAGAGACTTGGATACGGTGGATCCGTGCTGTGTTTCACAGCACGTGAGTCCTGTAACTACTGTTTACTCTAGGCTCGACCGTAGGCATTCATGATTCAACACCAGCTCTGAGTAAAGCAACAACTGCCAGCACTCCAACAGGGTGCGATGTAGGTCGCACCACGGTCGCTTGTTTCAATGCAATGTCGGCGGCCCGATGACTTCATGCCCCTGGATACCTCAATATAGCCCGGTGTCCAGCATCTTTTTCGCAACGCGACTCTCTTCTGCCAAGCGAAGCCAAACATCATCTGAGCTGACCCAGAACAAATATAGTTACAGTAAAACAAAAGCCTTCGGCCACGGGGTGAACCCTGATATTGAACGGACGAAGGATCCGAAGGCTCTCTGTGTCAGTTCGTTTACGTCCCCTGCGGAGGATCTTCCTGTGCCGTTCCAAAGCGCCTTGAAGCTCGCCGCAGTGCCCACTGGGCTGGACCCGATGCGCACCTAGGATTTGGGGAGACAACGGAGACGGAGACTGGCACTGTTTCTTTTTCGGATGCTGGGTTTAGGGTGCTTTTGCAGCCGCAAATTTGGGACCTGCAACAGCTGGGAGCGGCTGGGAGGAACTAGTAGGTGGTTTCATCCGCTTTGTTTGGACAGCAAAAGTCGATGAAACTCGGAACGTTTTGGTCCACAGGCTTGGTGCAGGGTCGCCCCTTCCTTGCACCAGGTTCAAGGCATCAACATGAACTCGGAGCCTCTTCAGCAAAGCTCTCCGGGGCTAGCTTGGGCTCTCCGGGGCTGGTGATCTCACATGTATATCGAACTCCTCGAGCTGTTTACCATGGCCATAGACCAGGAGTCAAGCTGTTCAAAAGAAGCCATGCTATGCCGCTGTGCCTGCTTATCACACTTATATACAATATATATATATATACTTATTAATCCCCTTGAAAAATGCCGGAACCCTTCCATGTCTGCAAACACACTCTCTGGCTGTGGAAAAAGGGGGCGACTCCACCTGACTCCGACTCGTTCCGTGCGGCCCCCGGCCAGGTCGTAGATCCACCAGAGTCCCAGACCGCCCGCCGTCAAGAGCTGGCCGGGTGCGGTTCCGCACGCGGTGCGGGTCCGAACGGCCGAACGCAAACGTTCCAAGAGGTGAAACCAAAGGGCCGAACACCGGGCACGGCACGGAATACCGTGATGAAGTAAAACATGGTCATGAACAAGTTAAACAAAACAAGAACATGAACTGTTTAACTGTTGTATTGTTGTATGAAAGGTTTATGAACTGGTTTATGAGCTTCTAGATAAGGACATCCTGATGAGTGTTGGTTCTGGTCTCGATGTGCACTTAGCAAAACAGCGTAAGCTGTTTATTGTTGACAACAACATGTGTTAGTGGGCAGAAAGACATCAGAATTATCACATACAGTATCTAGCCAGTCCACTTCAGAAAGATGCAAGAACAGTAGGGCCCACATGCCTCCAAACACAAGAACCAAAGACCAGTCAGTTTCGCCTTGAACAATCCGTAAGGGAAGAAGTAGCCCAAGTAGAGCTGATCCAGACCTCAAGACATCTGCAACACTGGAGATGGTTGAGCTTTCAGACTGATCTGGCCACACGGAACTTCCTCCATCAGCACTGCGATTCCTGCACTCTTGTCTGGGCTCTCCGAACCTAAGAATCCTCCAAACATTGAAATGAGGAACCTGGCAGCTTCCAATCAAGGCAATTGAAGTTCCAACACTATGCCAAACATGCCTGGTAGGCTGTCTCAAACTGTTTTGGTCTGTCCTAGTTACCTAGTGCAATACCTATGCAATGCTCCCCAATGTAGACTGTTGATCAACAACTCCCTCCATTTGCATATGGGGGTGTTCTTCATCCAAAGTCTACATCTCCATACTAAGCCCTTGGGCCATCTCCAACAACTTCATCCAACGACCGTCAATCCAAACTGCCCGGGCGCGGACGCGATCTGCTGAGACTTCCGTGGTGTCTCACAATTGGGATCTGCCCAAGCCTGAGGACTCGGTCGGGAGATCTGCCAAGAACCAGGCCGACCGCAAGTTCTTCAAGGTGTGATTGGACACGGTGCCCAAGCTGCCCAGTTGATGTCAATTTCCAGTCCAACAGTTGGCAAGGACCAGCTGTCACAGCTGCTCTTTCCAGCCTAAAAGTATTTATAGGTCCCAAACACCTGAAAAAGGTGTCCCAAACACCTGAAGCACACCGTGTCAGCACAGGTGTCAGCCGTGTCAGCATGGTGGGATCGCTTCAGGGATCGCTTCACTGCAAGAAGCGCAGGAGTTGACTGTATCCATTTGTCTAATCCATTCTAATCCCAACAAAGCCTCCAGGATCCTCTCAAACCTAAAATATCAAGCGCATGTTTCACTCCAACATACACAGGGAATCGCCGGTTCAATCCGGTTCATAGAGCTACAGTACTCGCAAGGGAGTGGAACATGAGAACAATGTACCGTCTTGAACTGCGGAAACCAAAACACTTCACCCATTGAAGAACCACGTCCGTGAGTGGCTCCCGCGAGTGGACGCGCGTTGTCGACGGCAGCTGTTTTCAGCTCATCGACCGAACTCTGCACATCTCTGCAGCACGGGCGAGACATCGTGGCACCTCTTTGAGGGCACCACCGCGTCGCTCAGCATGGCCCGTCGGTTGCAGCGGCACACGTCGGTGGGTGTCGGATCACGGCGGTCGACGGTGTTTGGGTCGTCCGACATCAGGGGGGATGCCTCCAAAAGGGTTCGGAGACTTTCTTGGTCACAGGGTCACAGGGTCAGGGGGTTCAGGAACTAGCACCAGCCAGGGGAGGTTGAACTGCTATGTCCTTCTTTTGAAGAGTAATCCATCTCAGGGGCGGTTCACCAGTGACACGGCTCAATGCAAAAGGCAGCTGAAGTCTCAGTGTCGTGTCATCATCGCACATCCTGACTGCGCAACAAAACACAGGACACAGATCAACTTGCAGGATTGTTTCAACAATGGCTAGAAGAGACAACTGAGAAAACACATGAAAACACCATGACGACAGTGATGATCGTAGTTTCAACTACTGTATAGCTGGCATCACTCATCCTAGGCGATATTTCATGTTCATGGGTCTTCAAATGGTCTTATATGGTCTTAAGGTCGGATGAATCCTTTCAGGATGTCCCATCTTCTCACCTGTTTGGGTCGCTGGGCTCACCATCCTCACCAGGTCACCTCCTTCGGGGCCGAACACGCGTAACGCTGAAGTGAAGCTGAGAATCTCTCCCAGCAAAAGACCAACCTCCAGAATTCCATCGAACGAACCCAAGCGATGGCTGTTCTGCACTGACATCTGAATCTGAGACCCCGCCACTTCCACCGGACCACGGTAGGAATGTTCCCACAAGTTGCCGTCAAGGAATGGGTCATAGGCCTCATCTTCTTCGATTGAAAGCATTTCTTCTTCCTCGATATAGATGCAAAACTCACCATCTTGCGTGAATGATGCAGTTACAGCAGCCCATATATCCGGATCAAATGATTCCATATTGTACTCAAACGTGCCCAAGGGCGCATGTGAAAGAACAAGCGTAAGCTGGTCTCCATCTACAACTCCACGATCGCCCAATACACAATGATCCAGCAAAACATCATTGCCCGAGATCAATCGCATGGCAGAACATGGTGCTGCCAGCTGCTGGCTTTGAATGGCGAAAAGCTCTTGAAGCCTTTTCTTCAGCACTCGCACTGTATCAGTCGCTCCAAAGCTCAGTAAAGTCTCTTCTCCATTGGTGGTCAGAATTCGAAGCGTCCCACTCTCGGGAAGGCTGGCAAACTCATTGTCCATCAGAACAACACGGCGATAGAAGGAAGTGCTTTCAAGACGTGCTTATTGGATGAATATTGGTTAACATGGATGCCTAGACTGTATTCCTGACTCGGGCCTTGCAATGGCTTCAAATGAACATGTCAAGGGGTGCAGCCACGTCAAGGGGTGTAAATACTCCGTGGCTGGGCAAATACTCCGACCACATTTCGATCACCAAATACCACATTTTACCACCAAACAACACGGTCAAGCACCGAGACTTCTACTCGGTCAAGCACCGAGAATTGCTCTCCCCGCGAAGGGGGGCCTTTTTTTACAGGAACGGGCGTTACTTCTCGCTTACCAGGAACGGGCAAATGGGTCCAACATGCTGAGTGAATTAAAAGGGTTAAAGATACTCACATGGCTCTGCTACTCCTGGTGAAAGACATTCTGCACCCCAAGGAATGGACTAAAAAAAAGATGTTTGGTGTGTTTGGGTGAATCCAAATATGATCCAAATGGTGCAGGAGAAATCCATGAACTATCATGCACAGTAATACCTGTATTTTGTGACCATGGGCAGGCATGAAGACCATCAGGTTCTGGCTCGGTTCTGATCCGTAAAGGCCATAAGGAGAACATTGTTGTAGCTGATAGCCCTTCTGGATTCCTTGGAAGGCAGTGGGATCGACTAGGCTCTTCTGTGATGACAAACCCATTGCAGGAACCTGCTGGGCGGCCGTGGACAACAAAGCAGCACCGTGGCACCTCCTCACAGTGGCAGAACTTCAAGGATGCATCCACCTGAATCTAGTTCACAACACGCTGTCACGGACCCTAGGTCATCGCGGTTATCCATGGGATAAGCCAGCTTATATATACATATGTACATATAGCACCTTGATCTCACGAGATGTGACATGAATGAGGCCTGAAACAGTCCACGATGGGACTCTGGAGGGTCTGCGCAGCCAACCCTTTACCAACACGGTATAGTGTGTATATATATATATATATATCACGTCATATCTGTTTAAATCATATTTTTTGTATATATATAGTTGATTATAGTTATATATACATAAATCAATGCACACCAGCTACTTCAAAGTGACATTCTTGGAGTTCCATCCAGCGACCCTTTACAGGCTTGTTTGTGACCTCACACGAAACGGTCACGAACAGTCATTTTGAAGAAACAGGCCACGTAAGCAATATTAAAGCAACGAAGATTGATGGGTTCAAATTCCATCCTTCGACCGAGATCCTATGAGATCCTGTAGAGATTCTGTCACCGTCTGAGTCGCTGAGAAGCGTGCCTTTAGAGCACTTCTGGCTGACCGTCAGACACCAAATTAATACAGCCAGACTAAATCTTCTGACATGATTTCTGGATGTATCTTATCACGCGTAGATACTATCTTAAGTGTATAACTAATCTATGTGTTTAATCAATTTTTTATCAATCATCTGGATATAGCCATCTCACTTGGGGCAAACTGGCTTGCTGGAATGACTATGTACATCTCGCCGCTCGATCAAGGACCACCAAGGAGCATGGTCAAACAGCTCAAGCCTACAATCTGCTGAAACAGTTTTACGGACCCTGTTCTCGCAGGAAGTGGTTCAGAACCATAGGCATCTATAGGCAGGGTGAAAGAGAAGACACACATCATCAAGCTTCTTCATTGGGCATCCTCTCGAACACTCATTTGTGGCTTCCTGATTACAAACATGTCAGAAATCACCACCAAACTCAGGGCGACACCACTGTTGAGTTGTCAAGATTGGGATCTGCGGTCCATGACTTGCCTCAGTTGATGACTTGTCTGAACTGGTACAAGTACGCTTCTTGGAGTACCAAAAAAAATAGAGGGCGGGCGTGCTTGGGAGAGCACACACTAGCTCAAAACCTCTAGAAAACACTGTAAATACCGTGCAAACTTTCAAAAACTGCTCTGGGACCTAGGCGAAACGCATATTGTTCAACCTTCCTGTGCCAAGTCTGGATGTGCAATGTCAATTACAACAATTAACAGCTCTTCGTTTGCCCACTATCAATATGTAACACCTATGACAAGTAGGTTAATCTTTCTCTGCGCGCAATGAATGTAGCATCATGAGCGAATATTAAATACAATATATACTATATATATACATCAAGATGAACATGTATGTCAGTGATGTTGCTTTAGTCTCTTGTTTATCTGGCTTTTCATTATGTATTTTTGACGTGTCCTTTTTGTAAAAAACATATCCCAGGAGCACCAGTATTGTTAATAAACAAGGGCCTCCCTCCCCCTCACTTTGACCTTGAATAAAGTTCATTCCCGATTCTAAGAAAGGAGTTTAAGAAGTAAATGAAATGAATCTTTCCCTGCAAGTCCGAAGTGCAAGTTTAACGAAGTCATCTGAGAACGATCAAGTTTTACGAGGTCATCGCGTTTGTCGGAAGAACCGCCCTTTTGTCATGACCACACTGGCGTCGCCACCAGAGCCCACATAGATCCTGCACAAATCGATGAAAAAACACTCAAAACATCTCAAAACAGTAGCCAAATTCATTAAATCACGTTACGTTACCTCCTGGTGTGATGTTGTATGTGAACCTTCACATGTTCACTGCATATTCTATAGTCCTAGCTGCGGTTCTTGGCTTAGCCGCTTGCCATCAGAAGATGCTAAAACTGCCAGTCCTTGCCATGTCATCGTCGCCACAACAGATCCATATCGATCCTGGAAAACAATTTTAGAGCAAGTCCAGTTCCATTCATGCTAGCAATGCTAGCACGGTTTTTGGCTTAGCCACTTGCCATCCAACTGCTAATTCTTGGTTCCTAGCTGCGGTTCTTGGCTTGGCCGCATGCCATCCAAATTCACAACAAGAAGATGCTGCAGAATGAGTAACCAACCTGAATGGTACTATGCAATCAGAGAGCCAAACTGTCCTGCGCATGCGTGCCTTTGCACACTTCAAGCGGAGCCTCGCAATCTTGGCCAGGAACTTTTCCATGTGTCTGCCAGAGATTGCACATGACAGCTTCTTGATCATCCCGATGGTGTCTTCTTCTGAGAAGCAATGCGAGAACCTCGAGTTCAGTCCTGAGATGCTCAAGTCCAGGGATAGAAGAACAGGTTAATTGACCCAAAAGACCACAGAAACCTCTTCCCAAAAGACCAGTGAAGCCTCTTTGAACCTGGAATTACCAGCTCAAACCTGCAAATCAAGTTCTCCTCTAGAGGAAAGACCAGTCAATGTCATCCAAAGACACACTCAGCCAAGAATCGCTCTCTCTTGGTGCGAGCCAAAACGTGGCAGAACATGTGCGCCTTTGGCTTCAAGAACCAGCACTGCAGCCCCATCCTCACAACTGACTCAACAATGGCGAAGGGACCTTGAGGTCTCAAATGGCCCTTCAGGTCTCAAGGGGCCGTTGAAGTCTTTAAGATAAAGGAAAATTCGACGCCCCCCCTCAACGGAAGTCCTGCTGGCTATTTTGAGGCAGCTGATGTGGTGGTGCAGAAAGCGCTTCCCAGCACTGTGGATGGCATCAGCCTGATCCTGCGTCCTGAGCAATCAAAGTGATCTCTGATAAGTTCTGGCATCATTGATGCCTACATGTGTGCTCTTGAATCTTTGAAGACAATGCCTACCACATCCTACCACAGTTCTTGGCTTAGCCACCTGCTATTTGGTGTGCTTGAATGGAAGTTTTTCACATCACCCAAAAAGGCCACCCAATCAGTGAAAGAACATTGGAACTGAACATGTCCTGCCACCCCCCCCACCACTTCAGGCTATGGTGCAAGAACCGTCCAGATCTCTCACAAAGGCCAAACCACTCACAAAGAGCTTGCCTTGGGCAAGGAGAGAATGAGGTTGGCAACATCATCTCAGGAACAGACCGGATGGTCGAAACCCAAAGCAGGGTCTCGTGGTGCCATATGATCAACCAGCTAATTGGAACAGTCACTGAACTTTCTCTGGCTCCATCCAAAGGTCTGTGGACCATCCCCTAGGGCTCCTGGCCCACCTCCTGAGAAGGTGGTTGGGATGGGTTTTGGGGGTCTAACCAGCCCCAGCTGGCAAATTCATTTTGAAGACTAAGTGACGAAGCCAGTGGATTCACCACCAGCAAGGGGTCATCTGGCCACATGCGGTTGCCAGCCTGGATCTCCGCCTGAAGCCGCTTGCCCAGTGTTCGGTCCTGAAGCAGGTGAGTCCAATATGGACCTGTCTAGGTGGAGGTGGTCTACCCTGACCCTGATCCAGCTGTTCATGTCCAGTGGAAATTAGCAGGGAGATCTGCATCCCTCCAGTTTTACCAAGTATCATCACCTGGACCTGGCAGGTCCCTCATGGCTGCCTTTAGGGCAGAATCGTGCAGCCACTCCAACAGCACCCTGCTGTTCCAGGCTTTCGCCACAAAGTAGGAGCCGTGACAAAGCTTGTCAACCTGGGTTTGATGCTCTGCCGTTGTCTGATGGACTCAAGTTTCCTCATAAAGACATAGGGTGACTTGTCCCATGCAGCAGAAAAATCTGTCCCTACAGGTCTAAGACCTTAAGCTTACTGTATGTTGGTCTTGCCAAAACACTATTCAATGAGGGGTCAGGTTGCCAACTTTGTCTTTCGACCTGTAGGGGTGCAAATGCAAAACAGGAACCTGCCCTGCCCTGAAGCGGCGCTGGGAGGTTCTCACCTGCAAGGCCCTCCTCCATGCAGTGAAGTCACTGAAGGCACTGAGGAGGCATTGTTCCAGTGCAGCTGGCTCACCGAAGAAGCCTCCTCGCACCAGTGTCATGAGCAGTGCCCCGTTGACCGTGAAGCAAAGCCCAAGGTTCACGCAGTGCATGGTGCATATCTGCACCATCCTGCAAGAGAACCCCTTCACCAAGACCAACGGCGAAGGGGAGCAACTCTCATCCAGCATTGTCGCCAGGAAATCCAGAGTTGTGACCTCCGCCCCAGTCGAGTCGAAGTCCCAAAAGGGATGATCGTGCTGAAACACTGTTGCCTTGCAATGGTGGCACAC